AAAGGGTTTACTCTGGGTCTGGTGGTAGTTGCTTGGTTGTAAAATAATTCTTCTAGGATGGTCCATATGATAGGCTGCACATCCTAAGGCTCCCACCAAATATTCATCAACATCTAAGATCATGGTACATGCTATAGGGACAAGAAAGCACTTTGGGATAGAATTAATATTTCATGAAGAAGGAAATATCATGGGGAGTATAATGGGATGTAGGGACGTTCAACTTCTTTGATGGCATAAGCCTTATCAGGAGAGGTTCATCTAAAAGATCCATATATCCATTAGACTAGGGTTGCTGTCCAGTAGAAAAGTGGATTTTGACATGAAGAGCTTTTAACAAGATGGTCCCAAAATAAGAAATGAAGAGTAACCCTTTATGATGATGTGGAAGGGTAATACCTAGAATTGAAAGGGATTCTGGAGTAATAGGTAAGTAGGGTTACTGGTGGTAGGATGTGTAGCACAGGGGGGAAAGTGAACCATTTGTCAATATCTCCCATGTCTGTAGTTTCTCTCTTGGAATGTTCTCTTTAATTGGAAGGTGAGATCTTAGAGGAATAAGATTCACATAGATCCTCAGTTTTTGAGGAATTTTGAGCATGAGAATAATGAGATCATAGGCCCCACTTTCTGCTATAGTGACTCACACAGAGGTTATTTCTGGGTTTTCCCAGACATATAGAGACACGTGCAAATGGATCCATACTGGGGGAATTTTATTCTTCCACACACATATATGACACATTGACTCCAGAAGGGAAAAAGACAAATTGACTCGTACAGCGATATGGAAAAAAGACCAGCCACACCACACTTCCCAGGGGGTATAATCCTATTGAGAGTTCATTTCCCTACATCAGCTTCCAGAGCAGGTAGGTGGTGCAGTGGATAGAGTGTTGGTTCTGGAGTCCGGAAGACCTGAATTAAAATCTGGTCCCTGATACTTATTAGCTGTGTGATCCTGGGCAAGTCACTTAACCTTGTTTGCCTCAGTTTCTTCATCCATAAAATGAACTAAAGAAGGAAATGGCAAAACACTTCAGTATCTTTTTCAAGAAAACCCCCAAAAGGGTCACAAAGAATAAGATGCAACTGAAAACAACTAAAAAGCCACAACAATAAAAGCTTTGACTAAACTCCCTGAAAAATATTGATTTCTTATAACAATTATAATAATTATTTCTTACAGCAATTTCTTATAACAATGACTTTATAAGAGTGAGCTCATTCCTCATTCCCTATAGCTGCCAAGAGGGAGTTGTGGAAGGGAAATAAGAGGAGGGAAATGATATAAGGCCTTTTCAACTTATTGTAACTTTCAGCACTGGACAGCAAATCCTAATTCCTAGTGGATTTGGGCCACAGACAGTATTTAGGGAGTGAGAACATCTTGGCTTTAGGCTGAGGATAGGTCCATAGTGAGTTATTAGTGATTGGGGTTATTTAAGGACTCGTTGGTAAAGATTGGGACCTATAAGGGAAATACCTAACTAATGGCCAGTGACATAAGCAATGTTAACCACAAAGAGGTCACCATCTTTATCGCAATATTGTCAAACTCTAGAACTACAGATTTTCCTTGCTCAGACATGTCTCACAAGTTTGAGGGTATCAAGAGACATCCAGTTGGACCTGAGCCTACCTAAAGGATGAGGCCTGTGTACCTATCACTTTCCATGACTCTTGAAGTGTTTCAGTGACAGTTGACAAAACACAAATGCTTAGCAGACAACTCAAAGAAGCTTATATGCTGTTGAACCCACCATTGCAAAGGCAATGGCAAATAAGGAACAAATCAGGTGGCATGTTGCCAAAAGCACATGCTGTAGAGGCACACTGAGGCTGCCCTCTGGTAAGGACTCAGCTTTAGGCTACATGGGATTATGTCCCTGAAGCCTGGGGAAAAAAAATGAAACCTACAAAGTTGTAGTCCTTGTAACCCATGCCAGAGTCATATACCATGCTCTAAAATACCTTTTTCTTTTTTTATTTGTGAGAGGAAAAAAGGGATTGATTTGTCTTGGAGGGGAGATTTTTTTTTCCTTCTTGGTAAGAATGACATTATGTCCCTGAAATCCTTTGGCTGAAAGACAGAGGTTTGCGCGGCTAGTGACATAAAACATTTAAGTTTCCTTGTCACCTTTAATTAACCCCTGAAAGTGGCATGCTGGCTGGCTATAAAGTTATCCAGGCTCACTTGAGTCTGTGTTTGTGTGAGAAAACCATTGGATGTCTCTATTAAAAGCTATTTATGAGCTGTTTGACCAAGATTACTTGTAATGTTTCTAGACTGTCCAAGGAGTGATACTCTTATCTCTCACTCCTTGTTCTTTTTCTGGCATTCCACAATTGTCACTAATAGGCTCAGATTCATACAGTATTAGAAGTGGAAAGTATCTTAGAGATCATGTGACCCAACCTCTTACATTTAAAGATAAATAAACTGAAGTCAAAACAGGATTCATGACTTGCCCAAGGTCATCCAGCTATTAAGTGTCTGTGGAAACAGAAGGGGACTGCATAAAACTGAGAGTCATTTTGTATTTATATGTCTTATAGGTTGCTATGACCAAAGAAACAAAACAAAACAAAAGCAAAAAAAAAACCACAATAATCTATTGACCAATCAACCCATGATAGCCTTTGATTTTCTAGGCGGCCCTTGGAAAAAAGACACATAGGCTTTCCTTGGGCCCACATTCAAAGCCTTTCTCACTTGGTGGAATTTTTCAGAGTAGTGTTTGAGAACCAAAGGTCACCTTAATGCTACAACAAGGTGGGATTAGAGTGGGATTTTTATGGAAGATTTTTTTAAAGTATGGCTTCTGAAGACAAGTGATATGTATCCCTAATAGAAGTATTTGAAAGAAATGGAGAGGCTGTTACACTGTTAATAGATCTTTGATATTTAATTCAAAGGAACTTTTAAAATCACTTCTGGGCACTAGAATGTGAATCAGGAATGAAAGGATTAATGTAGAAAAAGAAACTCATTAGGAAAAGATTTTCATGGAGTGCATGATGGGAACATTCATATACATGAGGTAATGATTTTCCTTTTTTGAATCTTATCCCAAGAGGAGCAGAAAGTCACACTGAGTGAAAGTCTGTTTCTGCTCTGTAAAAAGGAATCGGAGGGTACGTGCTAAGGAAACATCTTAACATCTTCTCTGACAAGGTATAAGCAGGTAGAGAAATACATATTGTGCTCTGATAGAATAGTCTGATAGAAAGGAATCAAAGGACTGAATCTTTCCTCATCAGGAGATACTCTGACACTGCACCAAGAGGCAAAATTCATGTATTTGACCACAGATTTTTTTTTTACTTTAAGAAAAGAGTCAAGTTAACTTGATTATTTAACCCATGATAAAGAAACATATTTAGATTAGAGAGTAGTTATTGTTAGATTAAAGAGTAGTTATTAATGTTAGATTAAAGAGTAGTTATTAACAGGTTAGGTTTAATTAGGAAGGTACCAAACTCTACCTAGATTCAGGAAGATGGGCAGCATCACAAAACCTAAAGTAGAAAATGACACCAAGATTCATATGTGCTTGTGTTTCTTTCAATGTGAAAAATCTGGTCTTATTGAAAAACATTTTGCTAAATTAGTAATTCGAGATTAGTTATTAGGATGTAAATTATTTTAATAATAAAATTTTAATAGGATTATATTTTTAAAAATTGAAGACATTTAATTGACTGAATCAATTACTCACTCCTGGGAAAAGACTACATGGATGATGTGTATGGCCATGAATGAGTCATCACTATTCACAGCACAGTACCTGGTAGGAAATAACCTCTGAAATCCTAACCTGGAAAACTGAAATCTACAAAACAATGGGAAACATCTTGATTTGGAATGATAAAATCTACCAAAGGAATTAGAATTCTTAGAAAGATTTCAAAAGAGATTTGAGATGAAAAGTTGGAGGAAGGGGTATATGTAGCCTGAAGAAGGCATCTGGGGTTAGTGCAGGGTTGTTACAGGGAGCATGATAACTGGTTATTCTCTACCTTCTTCAAGAGTACATAGGAAACAGACTTAAATTAAAATAAGAAGGAAAGAAACAATTTATCAACATCAAGATTTGGAAAACATAAAATGAGGAGGCTGAAGAAGTTCATCTATTCATGTTATAGGAGATAATCTCTTCTTTTGGGATGCGTAATTGGATTTAAAGCACGACAAAACCTTAGAAGTCATCCAATCCCTGTCCTTCATTTTACGAATAAGGCAACTGAAGCCCTGCGAGATTCAATGACTTGATCAGGGCCACACAGGTACTAACCAACACTGAATTTCTGACTCCAAGTCCTATAATATTTTCATTATGTCATACTGCTTCTAACAATGAGATGAATGGAGTGGACACACAGGTGTTTTTCAGAGGACAAGAATGTGGTCAAAGTCTTTAAAGGAACTCTCCTTGAAGACCTCTCAGACTTGCCTAAGGCCTAGGACAAGGTACAAGGGTATCAACCCAGAACCTGAAAATGGTACCTCATGACTGATGTCAACTTTCCCATATATCAGGACATGACAGTAGATCTACCATAATAACTGGGGGCACTACATTTCTGAGGCCACTGAGGCTAGTGATATTTGTCAATCCATAGCCTTTGTCTGCCATTATAGCTACTTAGCCTAAATTCATTTCCAGAGAGCATGACCGCTAGAGTAGATTCCCCATCCTTGACATTCACTGGTCCTTTACCACCACCTGAACCATACTAGGGAAAGTTGTTACTTATAAAAGTGGTTATGTCCTCAGCAAGAGGGGAACATTTTAAAAACTGTTACACAATGTAAAAACACAAATTAAGTACAGAACAGGTAGTCTTTTCCCACATAAAAAAGGGAATTCTAAGCAATAAAGATTCATTGAATGATTAGTTAACTTAAAAACAATTGGGAAGACAATATCCAATTGGGGCTGTTGGGATATAAGCAGTTATTGCAAGGTTGCTAATTAGCCTCTATCTAATTTTACCTCTATTAAGCACAGTCTGATTAGATGCTAAGTCTAATCCAAGCGTGATCTTCTTTTCTTTCTTCATTTCTTTGTTGCCAGTAAGCTCCTCTTGCTGCTACTATACCCACAATCAACTACAGTCACTATTCCTCTGGCTTCCCAGAATCACATGATCTTCTGAGACTCACAAACGTCATAGACTGTTTTATCTCAAGGTTGCTGCTCTAGTCAGCTAGTTGGGAAAGGAAATGGGAAAGAGAGGTGCCCCGTCTCAGGCACAGGCTTTCGTAGATGTGCTCACAGCTAGAAGTGGCCAAGTAGAGGATAATGCTTCTCTTCTTCTCTCACCCAATTCTCCCAGACACAACTGGAATAATCCTCACATTTCAGAGCTGAAAAGGAAGAGGAGCACTGTGGTCAGGTCACCCCTTTTAGTGCATACACAGAGCTCTGGCTCAGCCGCCAATTGAAAGGCTTTTCATCATTGCACGGTGCAAACCTCCCTCAGAGCCTGGAAGATAGAAGGACCTTTTTCAGGGCTTGTTGGTTTGATTGATTGAATACGGTAGAGCTAAGGGTGACAATCAGCCTTGCCATTGAGGAGTCAGGTCTCTGAGAGAGAGGGAATCCTGAATCTCAGAGGGACAAGGAGATAAAGATGTGGCCTAAAGATGTTGGGACAAGGACCACAGGAGAGGAAATTAATCACAGATACTATCCATTTTCTTCTGCCCATGTATTCAAGGCCAAATTTTGTGCAATTTGAGCATCAACTTCACACTCCTTGAAAAATGAAGACTGAAAGAAAAAGTCCCATTTGAGGGAGTTGCCCTGAAGGAGTTGCGGGCAGACAACCTTAACTCAGGCTCAGGGAAACAGAACTATATTTTAAATTTTATCATGTCGCACAATGCAATGACATATCAATAGCAAGCGCCTGTAGCTGTATTTTCAAATGACAGATTGGAATTTATCCCAGCTGGCCTCTCTCCCCTTCCAAAATGAAGGCTAAATAAGGTTGAGTGAGGAGTATTCATGGTACTATTCCCATTCTCTCTCTCTCAAACCCAGAAATGAAAATGATGTGAATGTTTTATTTAGGTTACCTTTTGTTAGGATGCTTTCTGTAATCCATCATGCTCCTTAAAAATATTAGCAACTTGTTCTGGCCTCTTAGAAGACAGTGAGTTTCAAATTGGGCTGTTGACAGAAGGTAACTGATAGACTGTAGAGTTTTTCTGCTATTTTAGGTAAAGTCTGTTCTTGATATCACTCTGATGAATGGCTGTAAGAAACACAATAGGGAAGAGAAAAACGGAGGCAATCAGCAAATGTAATCGTGAAATTTTCCCCCAAAGAAAATGACATGTCAGGGAGAGCCACAAAATGAAATATGCAATTGTCCCTTTACTTAGTACAGCTCAAGGCTGTACTGACTCTGTGTCTTCATGGGAAGCGCATAAACGCCTGTTAGAATGATCGTTGGTCAGGGCAGGAGTGATAAAGAACAGAAGGAAAGATACTTCTCCAAAGCCCTGGAGTGATGTCATTTCCTGCTTATCACAGCTGCCTTTCGTCCTTGACTAAGTTCTCCAAGACCATCTTCAGCCATGTTTCAATGCAGTAAAGTCTAACTAATTTATATTTTCCTCATGCAGCTCTCTCTCTTATGTTTCTTTTACCTGCTTTTTGCTTTTGTTTTTAGGGAAAAAAATCTTTCTTCTTCACCACCCTCCACCGCTTTTTTTCTTAGTATTTTGTAACATCAACCAAAGTATAGGCCAAAAGCTTTTCTAAAAAGCATGAATTTGTCCTTGACAGGGCAAAGTATTATTGAAAGAAAAGCAGCTGCCGGACATTGACTAAGTTGAGGAAAGAGGAAATCAGGTTCCTTAGCTTTTTTCTTTTTGGGGGGTGGGGTGGGGTGAGGCAATTGAGGTTAAGTGACTTGTCCAGAGTCACACAGCTAATGAGTGTTGTGTGTCTAAGGGCAGATTTAAACTCAGGTCTTCCTGACTCCAGGGCCAGAGCTCTACCCCCTGAACCTCCTAGCTGCCTCTAGGTTCTTTTGCTCTTAATCTTATACCCTGGTTCCTGTTGTCTCACATCACCCATCCTTTCCTCATCTAAATAGGGAAGGCCTGTCTCTCCTCACTTTCCTTCCATCTCTGTGAGTAAATATGAGTGATGACCTAAGGCTGCAATAGCTCCTTGATCCTTTTTTATGTGAACCAAAGGTGCTTAATTCCCAAATCTGAAACTTGAATGAAAAACAAAACCTTAACAGATACATTATCTCTTAGCCATTTGCAAATCGTTTTTCTTGCTCACATGTCCTATCTACTACAGCTTTGTCTAAAGCAGCCTTTCATTATTACCTGTGAAAAGTTCTTTGCCAAATTGAATTGGGATGATACAGTGTAAGAGAAATGCATGGGATTAGGAAGCTTGAAAACCTGGCATCTAGTCCTAGATTTTCAAATAATTTACCAATTACCTTAGGCAAGTATATTAAATTTTCTTGGTCTCATTTTTCCTCAGCTGTAAAATGAGGGAGATGGCCTTAACGATCAGAAAAGTTTCTTTCAGCTCTAACATTTTAGGAACACAACTGAATTTGCCAGCTATTGCTATGTAGCTCTGATTAGTCATTGCTGTTTAGTAATCTATGAAAGAGAATTTTAAGGATGAATGTTTTCCTGATGTCATGGTAAACTAGGGATTTTCTGCTCAGTTAGCAATAAATGTAAAGTCCTACACAGAGGTTCAAAAAATAATTTCACCAAAACAAGATGGGGAAAGTTTGGCTAGAAGACAAAGTATGGTTTAAAACAACGTTGAAATACCAGCTTTGCTAAAATGATAGAAAGGTAAAGTGACAAATGCTGGAGAGGATGTGGAAAAATTGGGACACTAATTTATTGTTGGTGTAATTATGAACTGATCCAACAGTTTTGGAAAGCAACCTGGAATTATGCCCAAAGAGTTATTAAACCCGTGTTTAATAACTATACATACACACACACACACACACACACACACACACACACATATATATATATATTTTTTAATAACTACACCCTTAAAAACTATGTCCTTTGACCTAGCAATACCACTACTTGATCTATTTCCAAAGATAATTAGGGGAAAAGGAAAAGAACCTATTTGTTCTAAAATGTTTACAGCAGCTCTCTGGTAACAAAGAACTGGAAATTGCAGGGATAGATGCTTATCATTTGGGTAATGGCTGAAGAAGTTGTGGTATGTGATTTTGATGGAATACTTCTGTGCCATAAGAAATGATGAGCTCAGTGATTTTAGACAAAATATGGAAAGACTTACACTAAGTAATAAAGAGCAAAATGAGTAGAGCCATGAGAACATTCTATATAGTAACAATAGTATTGCTATAAGAACCATTTGAACAAAAAAGTTATTTTGTCTGTCGTAAATACCCACATTAACTGTTAAGGATATGTGAAGAAGGTACTATCAGCATCCAGAGAAAGAGCTGATAAATAGAAATATGTATAATTTTACATATATATATGTACCTATTTATGTCTAATGGTAGCCAACTGAGTGGGGGAGAAAAAATTTACATGATAATTCTTTTGTGTATTTGAAAGGAATAATTGCAAATTGTGCCTATTTGCAGTTTCATGTAAAATTATTTTTACTTTACTATGTTATGGAAATTATTGTTTTATTACATGTATTTTTTGAAAAGCAAAATAAAAATAAGGTACTTTCAAAAAAAGAAAAGAAAATATGTGAAAAAAAGATCTGGGAGTTTTAATGGACTGCAAATTCAATATTTAACAAAGATATGGCATAACATCCACAAACAAACAAAAAAAACCCAAAACAGCACGCAATTTTAGATTTTATTAAGAGAGGCATAGTTCTAAATACAAGAGTTAATAATATCACAGTAAACTGCCATAGTCAAATCACTTCTAGACTATTATCTTCAGTTCATATTTTATTGTAGGCGCTAGTATTGTAGCGATTGTAGAAACATTCAAATATAAGAGTTCCCAGAGAATCTGCCTCAGGTTTGAGGCACTCTGTGAGTCGCCATCTATTGACACAATAGCTCATGAGTCCTCAATGATGTGCTTGCTTTTATCACTGAGTCAGAGGACACATTAGTCTAAAATTAAAAAAAAGACTTTTAATCAGACTGCATAACACTTAAAATGACCAAAGTGATAAAATAAATTCCACCCCTACATCAACATGGGATACAGTCTCGTAGGTTACCACAGCACCACGTACATGCAAACATACATAATCAAGGAAGATGCATGCATATATATAGGGAACACATATAGGGAGAACATGCATAGCCAAGAAGTCTGTGCAAAAGAGTACATCTTATGGTCATGTGGCCAGAGTGCATCCGTGAAAAGCACTGATGTAGAGAACATAGTGGCCAGGGCAATTTACACCTCCATCCCAAAGTCTTTTGGCATTGTCATTATACTGCTCTCTTCTTCCCTCCACTGAACATGTCATCTATGATACTCTTCTTATCACTAGCCTTTCCTATGCTACTGCCTCCTGGGCTCTTAGCTCCCAGCTGTTAGGTTTCTATAACTAGAAAGTTTCTCCTTAACAAGGCAGACATGTCTTTAGTCTACAATCAAGACTAAAAACTACCACACCTACCTAAGAGCAGTAAAAAAAAAATATCCAGAGTACCCCAAGCTACAATTAAATCTATTCTGTGACCTACAATGTCTGGTGTTTATTCAAAGTCCACATTCCTAGACAACTATTTGACTTCAGGTGAAGAAATTCCTTGTAATTCCTATTTAGCCCCTGGTGGATAGCCTTGTTCATTGAAGTCACTTCAGGAAATCTGCCCATCTCCTCTGATCCCTTACCCCAACAAACACAGAGCAGCTGTGTGGGCTACAAAACCTACATTGCTCCTCAGATTCCCCATTATCAGAATGAAAAGAAGATTGAGCAAGAACAAAGACAATAAAAAAAACAAGATCCTTGCCGTCCATCCTCCCAGCCCACATTCCTAGCTATGGAGGTTTCAACAGAGGAGATAGCTATACCTATATCTATCTATACCTATATCTATCTATAACTATACCTATATCTATATCTGGTTTTCATATCTGTTTATCTATGCTACATATATATTATATACATGCATATTGAGATATGTATATATAGAGATATATAAATATGTATATAATATATAAATACAGATATATATTTATATATAAATATATAAATAAATCTCACATTCCTGCACACATGTGTATATATATATTTGTGTCTATGTATGCATATATATATACATATATGTATATATACACACACAAATATGTATGTATATATACAAATGTGTGTCTATAGATATCTCTATGCACATATATTTCTCTGTCACCAACATATGAAATCCCTGGCACTTGTGATACATTCTGCTAACACAAAACTTTTGCTTGCCTCCATTATACAGGCCACCCACAAATTGTAAAATGTCCCGTGTAAGGTGACAAGATAGTGAACTGCTTTAAGATCATATGATACAAGGTTCAATCGAAGGATTTAGGAAGCTTGGAGAAGAGAAGATTTGAAAGAGGGAAAGAGCACAATGGCTTTCTTCAAGCACTGAAATATTACCAGATAAGAGAAGGATTAGGGTTTTTCTCTTTGGTCAGAAGTAGGAGCAGTGAGTAGGAGTTAGAGAAGGGCAAAATTAAGCAGTTTTAAAAAGGATGTTTTAAAGCCATCCAAAAGTAAAATGGATGACTTTAGAGTGAAAGGGTTCCCTCTCAATAAAGGGCTTCAAATAAAGACTGAATGGCATTGGGGCATAGTGTAGCAGGGATTCTTGCTCAGGCAAGGATTCAATGAGATGGCCTCTGAGGACTCTTCCAATTCTGAGATTCTGTGATTACTTTGTGATTACCCCCTTCATTTTATAGAGAATGAAACAGAGTGTGGAGATATTAAGTGGTTTACTTAAGAACACATACTTATTAAATGGCAGAAGAGGTTTTTGCTTAAACATTTCATTCATTTTTTTTTCCTTAAGGAAGTAAATAACTAGTGTACATAAGATTGTTGAATGAGGTATTTACTTATTTACGAGAACAAACTAAAGTTTTCTAATAGTATGACAAAAATTCAACTACAGAGATACTAAGTTTCCAGAACTCCCAGGCTTTTAACTATCAACTCTAATCTCACTTATTTAATCAACCCTCAATCCCCTTTTAATACTAGTGCCATCCTTCTGTTAATTATTCCCTACTTAATTGATCTAACTTCAACTGATGTAGGTAGAGGAAACAACAAAAACACAGTCTATTTGCCATAAAAATATCAGTTTCCCAAGACCCCACAATAAGTGAACGCAGCTAAGAAGAGACACTGACTTGAATGAGACCCAGTACACCATAACCAGCCAGGTTATTGAGTGGAAAGAAAGCAGTACTGTCATCAGATGGCAAGAGCTAGAAAAGGTCATCACTTTGTGTGAGACTGAGAAGTGTGAGAAAAGCAACAGGAGATAAGCAGAGACAGGAAGAAAGAAAAGCAGTGAGAAGAGGAAAGAGAGATGTAGAGATCAGTGGCAGGAGTGGCTGCCCCAGTGAGCACAAAGAACTAGGGATAAAGAGAGCCAAAGGACATGAAACAACTCCTCCTTTTGGAATGGGGGATGGACTAAAGAGATAGCCACACTGCCCAAGCTAGGAGCCCTTGAGAATTCAGGCACAGGGTCATTCAGCACACTAGCCATGGAGCAGTTGGATGAGTAGGAGAGCAGGAGGCTTTGCAAATAACCATTTCAACCTTAGTTATCTTCTGGGTCATTGGTGTGCAAAGATAAAGGCATGCCAGGCATAGGACAATGTTCTGTTCGTGTACAGTTTTCAAGCTCACCTGGAAGGAGAGTTCATATCTGCGACTATACTTTTAAGCTTCCTATCTCCCAAATGTAACTTCAGGATGTGAACAAGGACCAAGGGAATTATTGAAAATACTATTACATAAACTATTTCCTGAGAAAATTGATCCTTTGTGCAAGACTTTGAATCTCATTAAAATAGTAAAGATTCTCTGGTTTAATGTTGCTCATGCCTGGAATTCCATAGCATGTTGTGGTCTGAAAGATTCTGTGCTAGGGAGTCATCTGACCTGGACTGTAGGGCTGGCACATTGGTTAAGTGGTTGTATGAGTTTGGATGAGCCACTTTGCCTTTATGGGCTTCAATTTTCAATCCAATACACTCCAACAAGTATTTGTTGATTATCTTCTATGAGCCAAGCACTCTGCTAGATTTTGGGTATGCAAAGACAGGAGCAAAGAAAAGACCATACTCTCAAAGAACTAATCTACTTCTGGCAGGGTATAATATGGAAAGTAAGAGGTAGACACGTGATAATGCAAGGAGGAATTGAGCACTAACAAACAAATGGGTCAGTTAAGGCTTCCTTTATGAGGTGGCATGTTTGCTTAGCCTTGAAAGAAGAGAGGGGAATTCAAGTCACGAAGGAGGGATGATCTGTACAAGGACATAGGACTGGGAGATGAATGTTTGACTTGGTTGACAGCATGTTTGTCTGGAGCATAGAGCACATGAAGGGGAATGACATGCTATAAGCATAGATAGATAAGTTGAAGTTAGATCAATTAATCAATATTTATTACGCACCTACTATGTGCCAGGCTCTGTGCTAAGGACCAAGGATACAAAAAGAGGCAAAAGATAATCTCTGCCCTCAAGGATCTAATGAGAGAGACAACATGCAAGCAAATATATACAAAGCCAGCTATATATGAGACAAGTAGGGAATAATCAACAGAAGGATGGCACCAGTACTAAAAGGGGGTTTGAGGGTTGATTAAAAAAAGTGAGATTAGAGTTGATAGTTAAAAGAAACCAAGGAAGTCAGTAGAGTTACAGTCATGAGTGACCACCAGAGAAAGGACTGGATTCAAGAAATGGGGTGTCTTGCTCAGGGAACAGCAAGAAAGCTAATGTCACTGGATCCAAGAGTACGTGATAGGAAAGAAAGTGTAAGAAGATTGGAAGGGTAGGAGGGGATAGTTTATGAAGGGCTATGAATGCTAAATAGAGCATTTTGTATTTGATTCAGGAGGTTTTAGGGAGCCACTGGAGTTCATCGTGTGTGTGTGCATGTGTGTGTGTGTGTGTGTGTGTGTGTGTGTGTGTGTGTGTGTGTGTGTGATATGATCAGACCTGACCTTTAGGAAAATCACTTTAGTGGTTGAGTTGAGGACAGATTGTAGTAGAGAGGGACTTGAGGCAGGCAGACCCACCAGCAGGCTGTTGTAGTCATCAAGGTGTGAAGTGATGAGGGCCTGTGCCAGGGTAATGGCAGGATCCAAGGGAGAAGAAGAAGAATAGAGCCTTGAGGAATACCTGTAGAATACCTGGATGATGATCTCACAAAGGGTGTTGGGAAGGAACTGTATAACAGGAGGAAGAAGAACCAAGAAAGAGAAATGTCATGAAATATCAATTAGAAAAGAGCATACATCAATCAATCCATTAACAAGCATTTATTAAGCATAGGCAATCGGGATGCATACATGGGGGGAAAATGACACTATCCCTGTTCTCTTACTTACTTGTTCGCCCTTGTGAAGCTCCTTAAAGTGATTTATTAGGGATTTTGCAGGCTGTCTTAAAGTAAGAAAAAAAGGGCACTAAGAGGAGAAAATATAAGCAAGAGATCAATGAGAATATGAAATGAGAAAAAAATCACCATATTTGCTGTTGTTATTATTTGCCCTTCCTTCTCAAAAAGGACCAATGACAGCAGGAGAGTGATGTCTTGATTTGCAAATGGTTGGATTTAAATGAGGCAGAGCTGTGCAAAGTCCCTAGTTCTCACCATATTTAGCAACTACAAGATTGTTGGTGGCCTCAGAGAGATGAGTTTTGGTTGAGTGATGGAACTGGAACGTATAATTCCAAAGGGACTGAGAAATGGGCAAAAAGAGAAAAAGTGGAGGCAATGAATATAGATGATGTTTTCTACAAGTTTGGTCAATAAAGTAAAATGTGGTGGAGTTGCAGGAGAAACTATCTATGTGGTCCAGTGGGAGAGGGTTAAAATTTAGCAGGGCATAAAATGAATAAAAAAACAAGTTAGTCAAGGATAGAGGGCAATTCATATGCTGGCACACATTCTCACAAGTGGGTACCCAGAGAAGGTACCCCAGGTTTGAGTCACTCAATGAGCCCATACCCACTCAAAATCATGACATGCAAACCCCCATCAGCATGAATGAAAAGTAAGAGTATTTACTTTCACTAGGCAGCCAAAAGACACATTGCATGAAAATACATTTAATCAAATAGCATGGGAAACAAAGTGACAAGAAAAGATTCCTCTACGTCCCCCTCCCCATAAGTGGGACAAACTCTAAAGGGTACTACATTCATGGATGGTATAATGTAAGAGATATATGTGGGTAAGGAACATATACAAAGGGATCCAAACCTGGAATCCAAGTGGCTAGGGACTAAATTAATGAATCAATAAACATTTATTAAACACCTGTTATGTGCCAGATGCCATGCTAAGCACCAAGGATATGAAAAGAGGCAAAAGATATTTCCTGCCCTCAGAGTTTATAATCTGATTGGAAAAACAACACCAAACAAAGATATACAAAGCAAGCTATGTATATGACAAATGGAGAATAATTAAAAGAGGGAAGGCACTATATTAGAAGGGGTTAGGGAAGGCTTCCTATAAAAGGTGGAGTTTTAGTTGGTACTTAAAGGAAACTAGGGAGGTCAGTAGTCAGAGTGGAGGAGGCAGAGATAATGCCCTGAGTCAAGAGATGGAGTGCCTTGTTTATGGAACAGCCAGGAAGCCAGATCACACATATGACCAGGAAAACTCACACCTTTGACTGTGCAGAACAGTTGATGCTATCTGACCCCTCTCTGCTGTTATACTCCAGGAATATTGTCTGTGTTATGTCATCCTTTCTACAGGACATCTTATCTCTGCTGAGTATATTTGTGGACAGTGATGGTGGGAAATATTAGCCCCCGATTTTGGTTAACCCAGATTGGATTGTACTCACACATTGCTCTAGCTCAGCAGATGCATCCTCAGGTGAGGCATGCCTCCCCTCCGTGGAGCATACACTTAGCCCTAAATACCTCTGGTATTTGAGGCCACAGTCCTTTCAGTAGTCAGTCTGATGCCTAAAGCCCTGGTTAGGGTATGCTAGTTCTTTGCCTGAGGTCTCAATTTTCTTGCCTTCAGATCTACGCAAGAATGAATACAAAAGATTGCCACAAACCTGTAGCAACGGTGTCAGGAAGTTTGTTGATGTTACCATAATAAGCAAAGTTGACTTGTAGGGTGGGAAACGAGAAAAAATAGACTTATAGGCATCACCAATATCCCTGACAAGGGCCCCAACCTTCCCACTCTGAGATTTCCTATAGTCAGTTTACATAAAGCAGACTAACTCGGGGCTTAGAAACCAGTATTTCTAAACCGGTTCTCATCCTTCAGTACAGGCTGTGTTTTCAGGAAGGATGTCAGAAAAGGCAGGTGGCACCTCTATATGGCAAAGCATAGAAGACTAATTGCCTAGCTGTTTTGCCCTGTTGGTCTGGGTCAGTTTTCCCCTCTGTACTGTGTGTCACAGGGGGAGATTCTCCTGCAGTGCCACTGCTGGAAGTCTTCTGGGATATCATACACCAGATAGCAGCAATGGTCCTGAGTTATGATGGAAATGGAGGCATCCTTGACAGGAGACCTTTACACTTTTCTTGGAAAATCCAATGTCATGGGTACTTCCTGCCAATCAGAACTCGTAGGATCCTGAAAAAAGACCTGAATAAGCTGACGCTTTGAAAACATGCAGATACTTGCAAAATGTGATTTTTTACAAAGGGCTATGTTAAGGGCAAGAAGAAAATTAAAGTCCTCTATTTGGAATGTATGAAATAATGATAATGAATAACAGAGAATAAAGCAAAAACAAAAATCCACACAATTCTGGTTTTGTTTCAGTTTTGCATCTCAAGGCAAATGATCTTTAGAACAAAAAGAAATACATCAGAAATAGTTATGAGAATTAAAATCCCAAATAAGTAAGACAATAGTAAGAGAGCACCTAGTTGCTCTAAATTAGTTCAAGTTTATGCCAAGGTACAGAAAACAACAACTTTAATACATTGCTGCTGAATCACTATTCATGATCTCTGAAGGAGCACTAACCTCAATCATTCATTTACTCAGTCCTATTATATGCAGAAAGGCGGCTAAGAGTGTCGGGCCTGAAGATGATTCTTCCAAGTTCAAATCTGGCCTTAGATACTTATTAGCTAGGTGACCCTAGGCAAGTCATTTAATCCTGTTTGCCTCAGTTTCCTCATCTATGAAATGAGCTGAAGGGGCAGAGAGAGGTGTTGAAGTGGAGAGTACCAGCCCAGGAGTCAGGAGGACCTGAGTTCAGATGCAGTCTCAGGCACTTGACACTTACTAGCTGTGTGACTCGGGGCAAGTCATTTCACCCTGATTGCCTCACAAAATAAAATGTAATGAAATAAAATGAGCTGGAAAAGGAAACAGCAAATCACTTCAGCATCTTTACTAAGAAAACCCCAAATGGGGTGATGAAGAGTCTGAAACAATTGAACAATAACAGATTGTATACAGAGCACTTGTTTGAGCTATAGGGGAAGATATTAATCTGAACTCTGCTACTTGCTACCTGCAAGCAGCTTGTCACAACCACACTAGGCCTGTTTCCTCACTTACTAAATAAGTGGATTGGACTAGAAAATTTCTAAAGTACCCTTCAACTTTAACTTCTATAATCAAAGTTTAGATGAGACAAGACCATTTTCTTTCTTGGTCTTGCAATCTAGTAGGCCAATAAGGCACAAATGTAGTTAATTATATAAGATACAGCATATGATATGTGCCTTACATAGTTCCAATGCAAAGTGCTACATGAAGTTTAAGGGAAAGGTTGGTACTAGCTGGAGATGCCAGTGGAATTAGAAAGAAGGGGGTAAATGTGAGAGATGTTGCGAAGGTGAAATTGATAGGATTAGGGGAATGGGAAAAATGGGCAAATGTTTTCATTTTCAAACAGAGAAAAGGCATCCTTTTTTTTTTTCAAACTGCATACTGGGGCAAGGCTCGGACTGGCTTCACCTTGATCCCAAGCAAAATTCTAGAATAGTTTATTAGATGGATATCTTGGGAGCACTTAGAAAAGGAATTATCAGCAGGAGCGTACTAAGGACATGTTATGCCAGACTAACTTCATTTTGCTTTTTATCAGAGCTGCTAGACTGCTAGATGAGAGAAACGTTGTAGAGATAATATATCTGGATTTCAATAAAGCATTTAGTGACTGTTTCTCAGGATATCCTTGTGGGCAAGATGTGGGCTAGATAATAGTACAGTAAGATGAATTTAGAACTAGATGAGTGACCAGAGGCCCAAAGTAGAGATCAATGGATCAACCTGAAAGGATGCCCATAATATAGAGTCACAAGACTCTGTCCTTTGACCTTGCCTAGTCATTCTTATCAATAACTTGAATAAAGAAATATAACCATAGAATTTGAATTTGGAAGGAAATATAAAGATCCACCCACTTCTCATCCCCATTTTGCATTTGAGTAATTTGAAGCCTAGAGAAGAAGAACTTGTCAGAGGCTACATAGGTAGTAAATAACAGGACTCAAATCCAGGTGCATTGAATCCAGATCTAGTATTTGTTGTTGTTAAGTCATTTTTCAGTCATATCCAACTCTCTGTGACCCTATTTTTGGTTTTCTTGGCACAGATAGTGAAGTGGTTTGCCATTTCCTTCTTCAGCTCATTTTACAGATGAGGAAACCGAGTCAAACAGAGTTAAATAACTTGTCCAGGGTTACACAGCTAGTAAATATCTGAGGCCAGATTTGATCTCAGGAAGGAGTCTTCTCAACGCCAGGCCCAGAGCTCTGTGCACTGTGGTACCACCTAGCCACCCCAAAACTATAAATGCTGTGATATTAATTACCAAAATGCCTAGGTAATCTTTGAGAGAAGTATGTTGTCCGGGATGAGAGAGATAATAGTCCCACTGGTCAGACAATGTTTGAAATGTTGTGTTTTGTTCTGGGCCCCACATCTTAGGGAGGACATTGACAAATGGGTGACAGAATAGGGCTATGAATGATGAGACATCATGATCTCCAAAGAATCTAAATTATGACTGACCTAAAAAATGCTTACATGATTGAGAAAGGACTTGTGGTTTTGTTCTGCATGGAATTCTCAGGTGAGAAAACTGCCTCTACTGAAAGGATCAGTACTTTCTCTGCAATTTAGTTTTGGGTCTTCCCATA